GTGCTCAGCCTGCAGACCATCGCCTCGGATCTGCAGAAGTTCGACTCCGTGGAGCACCTGCGGAGCGTCGCCGACGCCGCCAGCCTGCACGGGCCGGAGGAGCCGGAGCCGCTCCGGAGCCGCGGGCGGCCGCGCCGCAGCCGGAGTCTCTAGCGGGACCAGGATCCGCGGGACAATCCGAGGCAGGAGCCGCGCTGAGGTCTGAGCCGGTGGGATCGGAGCCGGGATCCCCGCTGGGATCTGGATCTGCGTCAGGAGCTGAATCCGGAGCAGAGCCAGGATCTGCATTGGGGTCTGGATCCGTACAGGGATCCGCACTGGGATCGGAGCCAGAATGTGCGCTGGGATCTGGATCCACACCAGGATTGGAGCCAGAATTCACACTGGGATCGGGATTGACACTGGGATCGGAGCCAGAATCCGCGCTGGGATCTGAATTCACACCAGGATCAGAGACGAGATTGGAGCCGGGATCGGAGCCAGAATGTGCGCTGGGATCCGGATCCACACCAGGATCGGAGCCGGGATTGGAGCCAGAATTCGCACTGGGATCGGGATTGACACCGGGATCGGAGCCAGAATCCGCGCTGGGATCTGGATCTGCGTCAGGAGATGAGTCCGGATCAGAGCCAGAATCCACATTGGGGTCTGGATCCATACAGGGATCCGCACCGGGATTGGAGCCAGAATCCGCACTGGGATCTGGGTTCACACTGGGATCAAAGCCAGGATCGGAGCCAGAATCCACACTGGGATCTGGATCCACACCGGGACGGGAGGCAAGATTGGAGCCGGGATCGGAGCCAGAATGTTCATTGGGATCTGGATTCACACCAGGATTGGAGATGAGATTGGAGCCGGGATCGGAGCCAGGATTCACACTGGGATCAGGATTGACACTGGGATCGGAGCCAGAATCCACACTGGGATCTGAATCCATACTGGGATCGGAGCCGAGATCGGAGCCAGAATCCGCACTGGGATCTGGATCCACACCAGGATTGGAGCCAGGATCGAAGCCAGAATCCGCACTGGGATCTGGATCCGCACCGGGATCCATACCTGGAGCCGTGCCGGGATCCCCGGTGGTGGCTCGGGAAGCACTGCGTTCCACATGGATGGCTCTCCGGAGCCTCCGGATGCGCCCGCGGCTCCACTTGGGATTCCGGACTCAGGCTCCGGCTCCGCTTCTTTCTGGCGCCAGGATCCGCAGGAATGGCAGCCTGGAATCTCGGCATGCGCCCGCTGCTCCATTCGGGATGAGGGCGCCGGATCCGGAGCCTCCGGATCCCCCTCCAGCTCCGCTTATCCCAAGAAGGCTCCGGGAGTCGGGATCCGCCGGGACACGGCCGGACATTCCCGACAGCTCCATGCGGCTCCATCCCTCCCATTCCCGGAGCCTCCGGCCCGGAAGGAGGCCGGGAAGCGGCCTCGGACACTGCGGCATTCCCAGCGCCGGGAATAGGACCCACGGCGGGACTCTTCCCGCTCCCCCTTTCCGCAGGGATGCGGCGTTTTTTTGGGATGGGGATCCCGCTCCGCTCCCCTTATCCCTGCAAATCCGGTGCTGGAGGCGGGAAGCAGCGTTCCCGCTTTTCCCATTTCCCCCCTTTTTTTTTCCCATTCCCTCCCCTTTTATCCCGGTTTTCCGGCGGTGCGGCGGCCGCCATGAGACCGGCCGGGTCGGAAGCGGCCGCGGAGCCGGATCCCGCAGGATTATCCCGAATAAAGTGGCGTTTTTCCGGACACTCCCGCTGCTCTCTTCCCGCATCCCGGCTCCGCGCGCAGGTTGGTGGGAAAAAGGGAGGCTCCCGGCTTTATTTTGAGGGATTCTTCCCATTTTGGGGAAAATTGGGGGATTTTTCCCATTTTGGGGGGAAAATTTGGGGAATTTTCCCATTTTTGGGGGAAAATTTCCACGGAGCATCATCCTCCCACCAGGATCCCAGCGCTTCCCAAAGTTTTGGCATCCGGAAAGCTGAAACAACAGGAAAAATAGGGAATAAAAACGTCGGATCCGCCCTTTTTATCCCGGGAAAACCAGGCAAGGAGCGGGAAGGGGAGTCACTAGGTCACTAATTTATTACTATGCACCAAAAAGGAGGGAAAACGGACAAAAAAAAAATAAAGGTGGGAGAAAGGCTGCCAAAAAACTGGGAATTCCGGCTTGGGAATGCTGGGAAATCCGGGAATTGTTGCCCCAATGGCGCCGCATCCCCCTTTTCCTGCCCGTTTCCTTGTGGGTTTTCCCGCTGCGGATGGCTCCGATTGGATCCGGGGGGATCCGGGTGTTGTCCGGAGCGGGAATGGGATGGGGAATTTTGGGGGGGGGGGGGCTTGGGATGTGTGGGATTAGCGGGAGCTGCAGTGGGAGCAACAATTCCTGAATTCCTGCTGCAATCCGTGGAGTAATTCCTGCTGCAATCTGCAATCCATGGGCTGATTCCTGCTGCAATCCATGGGGTGATTCCCGGTGGAATTCCCGGTGCAATCCATGGGGATTCCTGCTGCAATCCATGGGGTGATTCCTGCTACAATCCATAGGGATTCCCACTGCAATCCATGGGGTAATTCCCGGTGCAATTCCTGCTGCAATCCATAGGGACTCCTGCTGCAATCCATGGGGTGATTCCCGGTGGAATTCCCGGTGCAATCCATAGAGATTCTTGCTGCAATCCATGGGGTGATTCCAGGTATAATTCCTGCTACAATCCGTGGGAATTCCTGCTGCAATCCATGGGGTGATTCCTGCTACAATCCATAGGGATTCCCACTGCAATCCATGGGGTGATTCCCGGTGGAATTCCCGGTGCAATCCATAGGGATTCCTGCTGCAATCCATGGGGTGATTCCAGGTGCAATTCCTGCTGCATCCCATAGGGGGATTCCTGCTGCAATCCCGAGGATCGTTCCCGGTACAATTCCCGGGAAAATCCACGCCGCAATCCACATTCCCACTGCGATTCCCGCCTCGATGGCCACGTTTTCCAGCTTCCCGAGCCCATTCCGCCCGCTCCGACATCGCATCCCACAAATCCCCCTTATCCCAGCCCCGAGCCGCCCGGACGCAGCGGCGTTCCCGACTCCGCCTCTTCCCACACGGATGCGAGCGAGCCGATCCGAGCGATCCCACTCGACCCCGGAGCCATTCCCGAGTTCTCTTCCCATTTTCCCGTCTCATTTTTCCACCTGTTTTTTCGGGATCTCTTTTGGTCTCCTTTCGCTCCGACTTCTCCTTGCGGAACAGCCAAATCCTTGGACATTTCTCCACCTTTTTCACACATTTTCCTTCCAACTTTTCCCAATTCTCCACAGTTTCTTCATTCCCAACTTCCTGCTTTTCCTCTTTTAAGGAAAACAGCCTCTTTTTCCCATTTCTTATCTTCTTTAAGGGGCAAAAAAAGGCATTCCATGCCTTATTTCTCCTTCTTTTCCATTTCTTACGGATTTTCCTGCTTCCATCCTTGTGGTTCCTTGATTTTTTTAAATTATTTTATATTTTTCCTTTTTTAAATGATTTTTTTCCTCTTTTTTTTGTGTGTGTATGTGTCTTTTTTCCCTCTTTTTCCCCCTTTTCTCTGCGGATTCCCACCCGGCGCCGCATCCCAATTTTTCCCTTCGGAGCCGGTGCCTCCAGCTGGGAACGGGAGAGGATCCAGAGCGGGAAAAAGGGAGTGGGAATCATTAAAAAAAAAAAAAAAAAAGGAAAATTCCCGCTGCAAATTCACGGAAAATGTTGTTCCGGATGCTCCAGATGTTTGGATGCTCCGGCTCCTTCCCGGATGCTCCAGGGCTGTCGGCTCTCCAGATGTTCCGGGGGTTCCCTGGCTCTTGCGGCTGCTCCGGCTGCTCTCCGGTGGCGGCTCCGGATGCTCCGTGGGTTTCCCGGGAAAATGGAAGTGTCCGGGATGCAGGGAGCAGCCGGAGCAGCCTTGGCACGGGGAGTGTCTGCAGCATCCGGAGCATCCGGAGCATCTGCGGGATCGGGAGCATCCGGAGCATCCTGAGGGTCCTGAGCGTCTAGAGCATCCTGGGCATGTGGAGCGCCGGGAGCATCCGGAGCATCCCGAGCACCTGGAGCATCCGGAGTCCACGGAGCATCCGGAGCATCTGGAGTCCACAGAGCACTTGGAGCATCCCGAGCACCTGGAGCATCCCGAGTCCACGGAGCGCCTGGAGCATCCGGAGCATCCCAAGCACTTGGAGCATCCTGAGTCCCTGGAGCATCCTGAGTCCCTGGAGCACGTGGAGCATCCGGAGCATCTTTAGCACCTGGAGCATCCCGAGTGTCCGGAGCACCCCGAGCTTCCCAAGCACCACAAGTGTCCGGAGCCTCCCGAGTGTCGGAAGCACCACGAGCGCCTGGAGCATCCCGAGTGTCTGGAGCATCTGGAGCATCCGGAGCCTCCCGAGTGTTGGGAACGTCCTCGGTGCCCGGAGCACCCCGAGTGTCCCGAGCACCCCGAGTGTCCCGAGCACCCCCGAGTGTCCAGGACATCCCGAGTGTCCCGAGCATCCGGAACATCCCGAGTTTCCAGAGCACCCCGAGTGCCCGGAGCACCCCAGGCACCCGGATGCTCCCGAGCGCCCAGAGCCCCCCAAGCTCCCAGGTCATCCCGAGCACCTGGAGCCCCCCAAGTGCCTGGATGCTCCCGAGTGTCCCGAGCACCCCGAGTGTCCCGAGCACCCAGAGCCCTTTGAGCACCCTGAGCACCCCGAGTGCCCGGAGCACCCCGAGCACCCGGATGCTCCCGAGCGCCCAGAGCCCCCAAAGCTCCCAGGTCATCCCAAGTGTCCCGAGCCCCCCAAGTGCCTGGAGCACCATGAGCATCCGGAGCCCCCCAAGCTCCCAGGTCATCCCCAGTGTCCAGAGCACCCCGAGCACCCTGAGCACCCTGAGCACGCGGAGCACCCCGAAGTGCCCGGAGCCCCCCGAGTGTCCCGAGCACCCCGCGCGCCCCGAGCCCCCCAGGCTCCCAGGTCATCCCGAGTGACCAGAGCACCCCGAGTCCCCAGAGACCCCAAGTGCCCGGAGCCCCCCGAGCACCCGGACGCTCCCGAGCGCCCAGAGCCCCCCAAGTGTCCCGAGCCCCCCGAGTGTCCGGAGCCCCCCAGGCTCCCCGAGCACCCGGCTCCCCTGCAGCTCCCACGTCATCCCGCGCACCCGGAGCCCCCCAAGTGCCTGGACGCTCCCGAGCGCCCCAAGCCCCCCGAGTGCCTGGAGCCCCCCGAGTGTCCCGAGCCCCCCGGCCGCCCCCGCGCGCCGGCAGCCCCCGGGGCGCCCGCGGAGCCGCCTCCTAGTCGCTGGGGCCGGCGGCGCCCGGCAC